AGACCCGTGCTCTGACTGCTGGAGAAGGTGTTGAGCAGTGGGGGGGCGGTGGTGCCTGGGGGTCACTGTACAGTGGGGAGTAATGGGCCTAAACCCGGTCGGAGATTCCGAGCATCCGAAGGTGGTCCGGGCTCGGTTGCATAGGGGTCGCTCTGCGATTTCCCCTGTCCGAGCCTGGTTTCCCGCCAAAATCCATCCACTCCGTGGCCAAAGAAGACCAGTTACCCCTGCTATGGAACAGGGCCCTCCTTCCCCCCCCCCTCCTCTACTCCCCCCTCCCTCTCTGCTGCCACACACCTCCACGGCCCTGCCCTGCCCCTCATTCGCTCCCTCCCTTGTCGCCCATCTCCAACCCCCCAACCCCCCTCCGGGTGTGGCATGGCATGGCATGGCATGGCATGGCATGGCATGGCACGGCACGGCACGGCACGGCAGGGGTCATCGGAGGAGTACATAGAGGCCAACATCCAGCTCGCCCTGGCGCTCGTGCGCCGGCTGCACGGCGCCACCGCCACCACCGCCAAGATCGTGAGCCCTCAGCCCTGCCCTGCCCTGCCCTGCCCTGCCCTGCCCTGCCCTGCCCTGCCCTGCCCGCCCTGCCCGCCCTGCCCGCCCTGCCCGCCCTGCCCTGCCCTGCCCTGCCCTGCCCTGCCCTGCCCTGCCCTGCCCTGCCCTGCCCTGCCCTGCCCTGCCCTGCCCTGCCCTGCCCTGCCCTGCCCTGCCCTGCCCTGCCCTGCCCTGCCCTGCCCGCCCGCCCGCCTGCACGCCCTGCCCTGCCATGTGCGCCGCTGCCGCTCCATCCCCCCTGCGTCTCCCATCCTCTGCACCTCGTCCCCCTTGTGCCTGTATCCCCCAGCTCACTCCTCTCCGCTCATCTCCCCAACTCCCCTCTCCGCTCGTTCCCCGTGGCCCCTCAGGTGCTTCCCGACGGGCCAGAGAAGCGCCGCTGCTCCCGCCGCTTCAAAGCTGCTCTGGACATGGTGAGATGAAACGACATGGCAGGGTGAGATGAAACGACATGGCAGGGTGAGATGAAACGACATGGCAGGGTGAGATGAAACGACATGGTGAGATGAAACGGCAAGGCGAGATGAAACGGCATGGCGAGATGAAACGGCATGGTGAGATGAAACGACATGGTGAGATGAAACGGCATGGTGAGATGAAACGGCATGGCGAGATGAAACGACATGGTGAGATGAAACGGCATGGCGAGATGAAACGACATGGTGAGATGAAATGGCATGATCAGAGGAGTGTAGATGAAGTGCGGTGCAGTGCAGGTGGAGCATACGGAAACGAAAGAACGCAATCAGCTGCAGAGCCATCCAGATTCAGTAGTGACAGGCCATGCCATGCCATGCCATGTGATGTTGAGTCGTGACTCACTCCTCTCATCACGCGTGCGGTTTGGGGCCCATGCAGACGGACGGGGTGTCGCTGGGGTGTTTGGAGGACGACCCTGTGGCAGCACCGGGGCAGGCGGGCGCACCGCAACCACGCAGCGCGGGTGGACGAGGAGAGGGCGGGTTCTTGTCGGCGCTGAAGAACGCGCTGGACCTTGACTTCGGGGGGCAGGAGACCGGTGCGCGCACGCGTGCACGGGTGCTGGGGACAGTGGGGCAGAAGGGGGGGGGGGGGGGAGGAGGGAGGAATGGTGTGGGGTGGGAGAGGGATAAGAACATGCTGTTCGTGCGCCTTTTTTTTCACCTACTCCTCTCCCGGCCCTGCAACCCTGCACCCCCCTTCCACGACCCTCTTGCTGTTGCACTCTCTTCCCTCTGCCCGCCCTGCCTTACTCTCGTTGCCTCGTCTATTGTAAAGGCTGTGAGCTGCGTTGCGCCCACTGTCCCTTCCGCTCTCTCCCTCGCCCTTCAACTCCCACCTCCTCTCCACACTTGAATCGCCATCCGCTTGCCCTCTTCCCCGTGGCGGGCATGGCAGGCGAGTGGGCAGCAGCAACGCCATCGGATCTGTACATCATCGCCAACGCCAGCTGCCAGGAGCTGCCCGCCGTTCAGGCCTACCTCGTCAGTGCTGCTGCTCTCCCCCCCTCGCCCCTCTCCCTTCACCCCTCGCCCCTCCCCCCTCGCCCCTCCCCATTCCCCTCTCCACCTCCTCTCTCCACCCTCCCATCCACGTACCCAGCAACTCCCGCTCACCCCCACTCTTGTGGTGGGCTGCCAACCCATGCGCTGCTCTTTGCACCCCCTGCACATGTGCTGCTCTTTGCACCCCCTGCACATGCGTCCGCCGTGTTAGACCAGCCCGCCACTGCATCCACCACGGACACATCTGAGTCACCTTTTGACAATGTCACACGCTTCTTTTTCTACATGGGGAATCATTGGTGCGTGGAGGTTACCAAAACGAGTGGCCAAATTGTTAATTCCTGCTTATAGGTGCTGATTCCTGTAGAGTGAAGTTCCACTTTTCCATCTACTGTCCGCCTACCACTGCAGCCTTGTAAAGGGATGCCTCGCAAGGAGGCCTCACGTTTGGCATCTAGCTGCTCGCTTCTTCGCTCTCCTCAATGCTCATCTCACTCCCCACCCACCCTCCATGCCCCTCGGTCACCCCACTGCTACCCTCCCCCACCTCCCCCCGGCAGGAGAAGCTCCCCCCCGCCACGCCGGTGCTGCTTTTCAACCTGGAGCTCGACACGCTCAGGTGATTGCAACAGAGCTCGACACACTCAGGTGATTGCAACAGAGCTCGACACACTCAGGTGATTACAACAGAGCTCGACATGCTCAGGTGATTACAACAGAGATCGACACACTCAGGTGATTACAACAGAGCTTGACATGCTCAGGTGATTACAACAGAGCTTGACACACTCAGGTGATTACAACAGAGCTTGACACGCTCAGGTGATTGCAACAGAGCTTGACACGCTCGGGTGATTGCAACACTGGCAGTTTGAATGGACTTACATGTGTATGTGTCTCCACTGCACCCTTCTCCACTGCACCCTTCTCCACTGCACCCTTCTCCACTGCTGCCTCTTTTCCGCCCCAGCTACCCTCTTTGCATCCATTGCCCCCTCTCTGTCCCCTGATCCCCTGCTCCCCCTGCCCTCCCTCACCCCTGCGCCCCCTCCTCCCCCCCCATCAGGGCGGACCTGGGGCTGCTGGGCTTCCCCCCCAAGGACCTGCACTACCGCTTCCTGTCCACCTTCCGCCCCGTCTTCTACCTGCGCCCGCGCGACTACTCCAAGGTGCGCGACTACTCCAAGGTGTGCGTGCGGCAAATGCTGCAAGGTGCTGCAAGGTGCGCGTTCAAATGACCGATAGCGTCACTGCCCACTTGGTCATCCCTGCTCCCCCTCACACTCCAAGGTGCTCCCCCTCACACTCCAAGGTGCTCCCCCTCACACTCCAAGGTGCTCCCCCTCACACTCCAAGGTGCTCCCCCTCACACTCCAAGGTGCTCCCTGCGTTATCATGCCTCTCATTGCTCTCCTACCTTCCGCCCACTGCATGCCTCACACCACCCACTGCATGCCTCACACCACCCACTGCATGCCTCACACCACCCACTGCATGCCTCACACCACCCACTGCATGCCTCACACCACCCACTGCATGCCTCACACCACCCACTGCATGCCTCACACCACCCACTGCATGCCTCACACCACCCACTGCATGCCTCACACCACCCACTGCATGCCTCACACCACCCACTGCATGCCTCACACCACCCACTGCATGCCTCACACCACCCACTGCATGCCTCACACCACCCACTGCATGCCTCACACCACCCACTGCATGCCTCACACCACCCACTGCATGCCTCACACCACCCACTGCATGCCTCACACCACCCACTGCATGCCTCACACCACCCACTGCATGCCTCACACCACCCACTGCATGCCTCACACCACCCACTGCATGCCTCACACCACCCACTGCATGCCTCACACCACCCACTGCATGCCTCACACCACCCACTGCATGCCTCACACCACCCACTGCATGCCTCACACCACCCACTGCCTGCCTCACACCACCCACTGCATGCCTCACACCACCCACTGCATGCCTCACACCACCCACTGCATGCCTCACACCACCCACTGCATGCCTCACACCACCCACTGCATGCCTCACACCACCCACTGCATGCCTCACACCACCCACTGCATGCCTCACACCACCCACTGCATGCCTCACACCACCCACTGCCATCCCCCGGTCTCCTTCCTCTTGTGCCTTTGGTCCCAACCTTCTCTTGTGCCTTTGGTCCCAACCTTCTCTTGTGCCTTTGGTCCCAACCTTCTCTTGTGCCTTTGGTCCCAACCTTCTCTTGTGCCTTTGGTCCCAACCTTCTCTTGTGCCTTTGGTCCCAACCTTCTCTTGTGCCTTTGGTCCCAACCTTCTCTTGTGCCTTTGGTCCCAACCTTCTCTTGTGCCTTTGGTCCCAACCTTCTCTTGTGCCTTTGGTCCCAACCTTCTCTTGTGCCTTTGGTCCCAACCTTCTCTTGTGCCTTTGGTCCCAACCTTCTCTTGTGCCTTTGGTCCCAACCTTCTCTTGTGCCTTTGGTCCCAACCTTCTCTTGTGCCTTTGGTCCCAACCTTCTCTTGTGCCTTTGGTCCCAACCTTCTCTTGTGCCTTTGGTCCCAACCTTCTCTTGTGCCTTTGGTCCCAACCTTCTCTTGTGCCTTTGGTCCCAACCTTCTCTTGTGCCTTTGGTCCCAACCTTCTCTTGTGCCTTTGGTCCCAACCTTCTCTTGTGCCTTTGGTCCCAACCTTCTCTTGTGCCTTTGGTCCCAACCTTCTCTTGTGCCTTTGGTCCCAACCTTCTCTTGTGCCTTTGGTCCCAACCTTCTCTTGTGCCTTTGGTCCCAACCTTCTCTTGTGCCTTTGGTCCCAACCTTCTCTTGTGCCTTTGGTCCCAACCTTCTCTTGTGCCTTTGGTCCCAACCTTCTTCTCTCACCCCCCACCATGTCCTTTTGCATGGCTCTGCTGACGTGGCATGTGCTGAATGCATTGAACCGAGTCAGAGTGTGGCCGTGTCGCCATTCATCCTCAACTACAGCGGGGCGCTCTTCAGAATGTACCCAGGTGTGCTCCCATGCCATGCCAAGCCATCCCTCCCATGCCATGCCATGCCATGCCATGCCATCCCTCCCATGCCATGCCATGCCATGCCATGCCATGCCATGCCATGCCATCCCTCCCATGCCATGCCATGCCATGCCATCCCTCCCATGCCATGCCATGCCATGCCATGCCCACTGCACCGTAGCCCACCTGCCTGCACCATGGGCCATCTATCAGCAATGACACTAGCCGTGTGCTTGCTGCAATTCTGTGTCTGTGTGTGTTGTTGTGTTGTGTATTCCATGTGTATCTGCCTAGGAGTGTAACGTGTGATGATGCAGTTTCTTTCCTGCATCCTCACGCGCGCCTCCCCCCGGGCATGGGGCAGGGCCATGGCAGGTGATGGGGAAGCAGGAGGGCACGGGGTCGTACGTCTGTGTGGCGGAGGGGCCACAGCGCTTCCAACTCGGACAGGTCCGCCCCTTGCCTTTCCCCCCATGCTTTTCCCCCATGCCTTCCCCCAATGCCTTACCCCATGCCTTCCCTCCATGCCTTCGCCCCTATGCCTTCCCCCCATGCCTTCGCCCCTATGCCTCCCCCCCATGCCTTCTCCCCATGACTTCCCCCCATGACTTCCCCCCATGCCTTCCCCCATGCCTTCCTCCCATGCCTTCCCCCCATGCCTTCCCCCCATGCCTTCCCCCCATGCCTTCCCCCCATGCCTTCCCTCCATGCCCCCCTGCTCCGCTGTCCCCCCTTCCCCCGTGACTCTGCGCCGCAACCGTCTCTGCCCGTCTGCCCCTGTGCCCCTGTGCCCGTGTGCCCGTGTGCCACATGTGCTTGCGGGGGCGGCAGGTGAAGGAGGAGCTGCAGCGTGCGCTGGGGCTGGGCGAGGAGGATGGCTCCACCATGCAGTTCCTGCGCCGCGGCTACAAGGTCACACCGGGGGGGGGGGGGGGGGGGAGGGGGGGGGGGAGGGGGGGGGGGGTTGCATCGAGCAAGGTGTGAGGGCGGGGGAAGCGGAGTGGGGGGGGTAGCAAGGCGAGGGAGAGGGGAAGTGGTGCAGAGACGCCCGGAGAGAAGCAGTGGGTGAGTGCAGGGCATGGGCGGGAGGGGCGGGCTAGGGCGATGCTGTGGCTGTGTGGGGGCAGGATGCCAGTAGGCAGGGGGGAGGGCCTGACTGTTGTGGCATGCGGTGAGGTGGGGCGAGCATGTGGGGGGAAGTGGGGCGAGCATGTGGGTGGAAGCGGGGCGAGCAGGTGGGTGGAAGTGGGATTCGCTTCCAGTGACCTCCCTCCCTGCTCCTCTGCTTAGTTCGGAAAGACGCAGCTAGGACGCTGCGTCCTGCGTCCGGACGCAGCGTCCGGACGCTAGGACGCAGGACGCGCGTCCAGACGCAGGACGCACGTCGAAGTTTTTTTCGGGCAGCCCGAAAAAAAAAAATCGATTGCGATTTTGGCATTCGCGATTTCGACGCGAATGTCGAAATCGCGAAATTTCCCCACCCCAAGCCCAATTCGCCATTCAAAACCAGCCCCCCATTTTCCCCTCACCAATTCTCTTTCGTAAACCCATGAGGTTTTAGGTCTTAGCTTAGCTTACCACCTAAACTCCGCTATGGCTTCCTCGAGCATGATGATGGGGATGCGTGATGGTTGACTTGATGCAGTGCAGTGGTAGTTTAGTATGCATGGTCGTAAATGGTTGGATTAAACGTAATGTGTGTGTGTGAGACCTTGTGAAATGTGTGACACGTGACTCACCTTAATCTCAAATTTTGGGGGAAAATTTTGTGGTTGGGGAAAATTTTGTGGTATGACCCCCCCCCCCCCCCCCCCCCCCCCCTCTCCCAAGCCCTATACAATTTTTTTGGCCTGCCCGGGGATTTTTTTGCCCTGCCCGGGCTTGCGTCTTTTGGTGCGTCTTACAGGTCAAGGGTCAGCGTCCTGCGTCTGGACGCGTGCGTCCAGGACGCAGGACGCGTCTTTCTGAACTAAGCTCCTCTGCCCTCACTGCCACCGCCCTCTGGATAGTGGTGTGCCTTGTCGTGTGGCTCTCATCTCATGCTGTGCCTGTGTGTGTGCAGACCAACACGTGGTGGGAAGAGCAGTCAGAGCAAGAGCAGTCAACGGAATGGAGAAGCTGAAGGATGGCTGTATAGAGGGGATAAAGAGTACAGCGCAAGAAAAGCTACAAGAGGATGCAGGTACAATTGCAGGACACTATTGTACCAACAAGACATCTACCATTAGAAGAATCTGCTCCACCTCCACACTGACTTGTACCCGTATCCCTTTCTCTCAATCAGCAATTTAATAAAATACTAAGCCGACCAGCAGCCCCTGTACGACAAAGTCACACTCACACAAATTGAATGACAGGTTTAATTGGGTACGGTAGCAGTTTTGTACTCATGTTCGTTTATGACACACTCAGCACAATCAGGTCAATCGGAGTTGCATGTTTGCACGATGAAGATTCCCCAACCATGATCAACCTGCTTAGGGTGCGTCAGATCCGTTGGCCGGATCAATCCGGCCGGCCGGATCTAGCGAAGGTTACGCATTCACGACATTTGTAAGGTATTTCGTCAATTTCGCACAATCCGGCCACTTGCTAAAAAATTGATGGCCGCTTTGATGGCCGGTTTAGCGGTCGACAACTTTCCGACGTGCAAACGAATCACGAGTCGACCACATTGTCGACTCGTGAGCGATACAGTACCTGTGCGACTTGGCCAACATACCCAAGTGACTCAACGTGTCACAAGGACGACTCGCACGGCGCTTTCAGCCCCGTTGAACATGACCACTTTTCGGGGTCACACTTGTGTAGTGCGAAACGTGCAATTTTACGCAAGACCAATCTGCGCCTCGCCACCTCGTTTTGACTGCGGAACATTGTTCTACTCCCTCACGGGGTCACACATGACGATCATTGCCAAACTCACCCAGGCAAAACCAGATTATGGCTTACAGGGATAGCAACGACATGAACACACATTCTAGCGACAATGGCGGCACCCCAGGCACTCGCCCAGATACACAACAGTCTACCAACGCTCCTCAGGCTCCACCCATCAGAACTGTCGGGGAGTCTTCCCGTGTGCACATTAACCCGTGGGAGCGTAATCCAGACTGGTGGATTAACAACCTACCCCGCCCAGACTCGCCTTACGGTATCAACGATGACTACGGGGTAGGCGAGGAGGCCCCCGAAATATGCTCCGCCAATGACGACGAGGAGCTTGACCTAAACATAGGACGTACTAACACAGAGTCAGCGACGGCGACTACATCTACCGCTACCCGGACCACTTTGCCTAGATGGACCAAAGAAGAGGATTTTCTGTTGATGCAGGAGCGTCACGACATGCACGATGACTGGAATAACATGCGCGGAATGCAAGGCCAGAGCCAGCACGCCAAGCTGCATCGCAACCTGCTCGCCCGTAATCCGAGGTGGCGCCACACGGTCTCCGCTCTCCGACCGAAGCTCCGCCGCATGGAAGCCACATGGCTTCGATGGATCAAGTTCTTGGAGCGCTCTGGCAAGGGTCGTGCGGATGGATGTCCGGCGTGGTATGATCTGGCCGACGCGATATTCCAACCGCGGGAATCTTTGAATCCAGAGACTACTGTGGAAAGCACCCCAACTGCAACGACGGCCAACACCGTGCCATTTACGGCGAATGGCGGGCACACAACAGCCGGGATCAACGAGGCGCCCGACTCTATCGCCGATAGCGTGGTGCCACCGTCGACTGGTCCAGGGTATGCTGTGCAACATGGCGGAACCCCGACCGCATTTGCATCAGTCGCATCCGGGTCTAGTGTACGCTCTGGTAAGCTTTCTGGGTTTTAAATGGTTGTGCTTTGATATTACACGTTAACCTGTTCAACTCCATTACAACATGAATTTCATCTCAACTATTACGCCGTCACTTTTTCTTCTAACCCCTGTACCTGCAACAGTGCAGGCTACTGAACCAGCCGTCGCCCCGCCGGTCGCCAATCCCCTCGTCACTTCGCCTTCACGGTCGACGGGCCCTGAACCAGCCCGCCCCGCGGCGTCAACGCCGACTCCGCCTCGTCAGCAAGCCTTGCCACGCGCGCGCGCAGGCGCTCTATCCCTCGGTGCTCAGCCGGGTGGATCTCTCCGCAGTGGACGCACCACGGCGAGGGCGCGTGTGACGTCTGCGGTTGGGATGTGGGGGGGTGAACACGATGGTGAGTATAGTGGGCGACCGGGACGACGTAAGGGCAAGGAGAAGATGATGTACGATATGTGTGGCTTCATGACGAAGGAGTTAACGAACGCCATCCAAACGACAATGACCCAGTTTTTTGAACGCACCCGAGAAGAGGACGAGAGAGCCCGGGATGCCCGAGACGCCAAGAGGCATAAAGGAAAGCAGAAAAGCGATTCCGCCTCAAAGTCGGAGTGAATCCGGCGATTTCGATGCCGTGATGTGCAAGGCTGGCGGCCGGCCCTTGAAGCCACCATCTATTTCTCGGGTACGGCATCTCCATTCGGTATCTTGTGCCAAGCACCATTACTATGTTATGCAGGGTTACCACAGCCGCCACGGTGGCCGGCACATGGCGACGGTGGCATTCCATTCTGGCGTCTAGGATACGCCATTTTGTCTTTAAGCGCCCGTTGACTTGCTCAACTATCATGCGCGCCCGCGACTGCTGCTTGTTCCACACGGCTTGCGCGTCCGGCAGTAGCTGGCCTGGGGTGGCTCGGAAAGGCACGTAGATGTAGTTTTTGAGGCCGTATGCCGCATCGCTGACGATGCAGTAGTTGCCAATCCCTCCGCAGTCTATCATTTGTTTAGCTTTGGAATTAGTGAAAACCTTGGAATCATTGCACGAACCCGGCCAGCTAGCCAACATGCTCCAAACAAGGCCGTTGGCGTCGACGAGTAGTTGAAGGATAATGCTGAAGAAGCCTTTCCGGTTCTTAAAATCCTCCGCATGTGGTCCGGAACCGCGGGTGTGTATGTATGTGCCGTCCATAGCACCCACAATCCCTGGGATCCCACTGTCCCATTTGAAATCTGCTTCAGAGGCAGCAAGTTCGTCTATGTCAGGCCATAAAATCCATTCGGCCATGAGGACGTCTTCATTGAATCGAACCCAGGCCTTCACAATCGTGTGGGCATGCGCGTGTGAGAAGCCAAAAAGCAAGCCCAGCTGACGAAATGTCATCCCGCTTCCAAAGCGAAGGAGCACAAGAGCTACTTGGAGAGCCACCTTGCATGCATGTTTGCCAGTGCTGATAAGGTGTTCAGACCACACGCGGCAGAGGTAACCGAATACGTCATGATCAACTCGCAGTGTTTTGTATAGGTGGTCTGGGGACATGTGCAAGAAGCGCTCCATCCAACGCGCTCGTTGAATACTTCGGTCATTTCGCCAGAACACTTGGTAATCGCTCTCGTCAGCAAAGTCAAGGAGCAAGGGCACCATGACACCGACTGCAGCGACCAAGGGGATGAGCACAACGTGCGTGAGGCCAATTGCTAAACGTCGTGCCCATCTGGGTGTGAAAGGATCCGCCATGTTGGATAATGGATAGAGTGTACGACGTTCGGGTTTTTGTATGCTCTCGTCACACTCAGTTCGGGTAGACGACACGATCTCGCCGAGCCGGGTTGTAAATGGAGCCGCACCTCACATCTTGACTCTCTGATCGTGGTGCGCACAATAGCGGTTGTGTCACTTCAGTAACAATACGTGCGATACCGTCGCACAATCCGGCCAACTTTGCGACCTGCAAATCCGACACCGGATCAATCCGGCCTGTAAATCGGTGTCAGAATGAGAACTACAGCGGAATGCGTTGTATTGACAGAATTGGGGTACATCACCTAACCCTAACTAGTTGTACCCCATATAGCCCAACCCACTACAGGCTATAATATTTGA